ATTCACGGGGAAGCTACTACTCGGGGTGGATTCCAAAGCGAAACGGGAAATGACGCGCAGATCGATCTAGTAAGGAACTGTCCCAACATCCATCACTTTAACTGGCTCGGGAACGCCGTGATGGAACGCAGCCACACGTCCCCAGAAGTGTCACTATTCGTCATTGTGTCTCCGCCAAAGCCTCTATTCTCAGGGCGTTTAATGCGTCAAGCTGTAACGCTCTGGCAAGCAATGAAATTCGTGGATCCCATCCTCTATCGTGGTGACTGGGAAGACTTGAAATTTTCAGGGCGGGAGTTGTTGAAAGCCATCACCGGCCAAGCGTTCCAATTCTACACTCCGGCAGGCACATGGCAACATGACACACACCAACCTGACATCCAACAGCCGATCGTTGACCCATCGAACCCACAGTTCTATGCCAGCGAGAAAGGTCTCCCGCTCAACGGATGGTTAAGTACGTTTACCCGTAAGAAATATCTCGATCTGGCCAATGAACTGTCTGAATCGAGGGACACGGAAAGACGCAGACGCAAGCCGTTGTCCAGAAGATCACCTCTTCAGCAATGTATCGCGATAGATGACGTACTTTACACACCCAACGACAAGTCAGGGAATTCCAGCGTTCCCGAACGACACTCCCAAGGTTGGAAAAACACCCATCCACTTGTCAACGAAACTCCTTGATGTCCCATTCTATTAGCGGGTAAAGAGTATGGTGGAGAGTCAAACACCGATGAAAATTAGGACCACAAACCATTCCATGAACACCCGCGTATAGAACTCAGAACTGTGTTCCGCCAATCTAAAGATCATATCCCCTCGCCGGACACGAAGCTTCGAACTGAATAAGGCCAACCAAGGCACTGTTGACCTTTAGCGAACAGTATCTTAAGGGGCCTAGTAGTGCACCAGTTGCCAGGAGCGGACAAATTCTACTACGCTGTAGACTTCATATCGGTAAATTATTCCAGGGCCTGAAGGCGATTAGCCCGTGTGAAATATGTCATTCAATAGCGGGCTCACTCTGGCTACTGCCTATATTTTCAAGCCCCAGCCGCTGGACATGTGGGTCGTTTGTTTTCGCTTTCGGGCCTTTCCCTCAAGCCCTGATCCTTCATGAAACCGGGGGGATGAAATTTTCTAGTTAGCTATCTTCTAAAGAGCAGCCGGAAAGTTCAGACTGAGCATATGTCTGTGGCAGAATACTGCCGTGCACGCTCCAGCCCGCCAATATATACATCCTTGTCACACATGTTGCTCATTTTTGTATACATGCGCTACAAGTTCATATATTCAGCAAGATCAATATAATGCTATAACTATTTTCAACGAGTCTGGAATTCCTTCTGGGGATCGGCGCTTACAGTGTCGACGTCTATTGAATTTGCACACCCGTGCCAATATTCCCCGAAGAGCGTCCATAATATACAGTCATTGCTTCCACATATTTCCAGAAAATTTCAACAATTTGTACGCAAATACGAAATTTATCCCCAACAGTATGCTTCACCCGACCTAGTTTAACAAGCCCTCCGCCTGTAGAAGCTGTCGTGCGTTCTATTTCTCCGGGAGGGAAAAAAAAAAAAACCAGTGAATCATTAAATGTATGCAGTTTGCCCCGCGAAATTTTCACCTGCCAATGCCGTCCCCGTTTGCAACAATATCATCCAATCTCGTTTTTAGTACCGTCCGTATGCCTCCCGAGTCCATGCCGATATGGACTTTGAACCAGCAGATCCTCTGTGCCCAAATTTCCATGCATTAGTGTTGGCCAATAACCTCTTGATCACGTTGCTAAATATTTGGCACGGAATGGAATCTATTGCCGTCCCATGGGATGGCTCGCAATTAGTCGCAGCCAAAGTCGGATGCGTTGATGGATCGTGCCCAAGATCTGCATCGTTCGCCCTCTGCGGCCGGCCACGAATGCTCAACTGCAATTGAGGTTCACTGAGTGCCCTCATATATAACGCCTTCTATCGCAAGCTGGCCCCTCTGATGCCTGGCGTGTTTGATAGGTTATCATCACACCTTCCAATCGACGATAGCAGTGATAAAGCTTCGGAATCGTCCGTCCATTGCGAGCTTCAGCAGAATAGCTTCGCGCAGAATCGAAAAGTTTCAGTTTCAATTTCGTGACGGCATGTCACTTTCCCGGACATTCGCGGAGCCGCACCAAGATGGAAGGATTCGAAATCGCTCTGACACAATCACTTTGCTTGGAACCGCCTACCAGGACCCTGTGAAAGACGTACCTTCTCCACCGCTGCCAGTTCAAGATTACACGGTTGAAAATCTCAAGGACAGGCTCATATATGCAGAGCGTATTCTGCGAAACAAGCAAAGGAAGCCATCCCCAATCGGAACCAGAGCCTTACAGATATACAAAGACGCCTGTGTACGACTTCTTGACCTTGAGCAAGAGGAAGGGGATTTGAAAGCTGCTAAAGATATATGGCGAACGACATTAAAAACATACGATAAATCGCTCTATAGTGCTCCGTGTCTGCAAGTGGCTCGCTCATCCGACGCTCAAACCCTACAAGATAGGTTAATCAGCCTTCAAAAAGAATTATTCTATGCTAGATATGCAGATATCTTCGCAGAGCTTTGCATACAACCGGAGCCAGGATTTGGGGCAGCCGAAGAGTCATACTGGATCGAGGTCTACCGGAAACTTCAGGTAGAAGACACTCCCTCCTACCAACGTGTGTTCAGTGGCCTACAAGGCCACCACGCAAATCCGACGCACCTAGCCATCTATCGAGCTTGGAACAGGATCGGATTCAGTCGCAACGATGTGGTTCAAACTATACACGGTTATGTCACCAGAAAGGACGGAAAGCATATGAGAGTTTTCCCCCTGATAAAAAGTGGAAAATTCGATGACCTTAAAAAACAGCTCTATCATGACTCGTCTATCATCCCTCTTCTCATTCACGAGAGTGATTGGAAACTGATCAGGCTTCTCAGTCGGGTCATACAGTCCCTAACGGATCTCTGGTTCGACCGCGGCAAAATTGATCCCGAAAACTATCAATTGTGGAGATATACGAAAGCTCTTAGCACTTTGTATAGGCAGCTCCGTGGAGAAGATTGTTCTGTTCCACAAAAGCAGTTAGCTTGCGATATTGCGAAGAAGATTCGAAAGCGATTACGGGACCTAGAGGACGAAGAAAAAGCTATAGAGGGTCTTTCCATAACCATCGGACCGTTGCGCCCATCAGGGAATAAAAGGGCCAAAGCAGCAATGGCTTTCTCGGTATCGCAACTCCACGCAGAACGGGGTCGTGCTATGAAGATGACGGCAGATTGGAATAATATCATGAACCTTGTACATGCCGCAGAAGATACATCGAACTCCACATTTGGAAAGTATTACGAACCCACTTCTTCTCTAGCGATTATACCAGAACTTGCTTCAGAAAGGTGATCTTTTGACATTTGCGGCGGATTGACTTGTATGTTCTCCACATATCAAAAAGAAACGAGAAACGAAAAATAACACAGTGGGCGATGTTTGGAAAATCTGCTAACACCATTGATTTGCTGGTGCCGCGTGGTGACAGAGGTGAAGGGGGATTAGCTATGGAGCTGTAGCTGCTTCAGTAGTATGCTTGCATGGGTTTTCCAACATGGCTTCCTTAGCTTAGCGATCCTTCCAGCAATCACGCACGCTGGATGAATTGATAGCGAACACACGGTGCTATTTTTGGAGGAGAACTCGAGAATACTGTTTATATCTTTGGATTTGCCGCATGTGCCACAATTTCGGTAGATATGAACTTCCACATTTTTCAGGGCATCTGGTTTACCCACCACTGAATCTTAATGCCTTATTTTAACACATCTTCTCCACATCAGGGTTTCATTGTTTCTGACTTAAATAATAATATAATATCCATAAAGTCAGCTTAGATGTCCAGTTTTCCTAAGATATTGACATTGAACGAAAGACCGTTTGAAAGAGAAGATAGTTTTGAATAATACAAACTCTAGTGACTACCCCCCATAACAACAGATCAAATCCCGGAAAGAATGCCAGGTCGAATTGCTTCAAGCTTCTTCTCCAATTCAGACCAAACTTTGCGCTGGATTATCCGGCCCTCATCAGTTTTAATCCAAGGGGCCAAAATGTCGCTGTAAATGAGATTGTCAGCAAATTCATTCATGTCCAGGATAGCTCATGCTAACCAATGTTGAGTGAGAGATTAAGGTTCCTTTGTATGTCTGTAGGCGGAGAGTAGTTTAAAGGAAACCTATATAAAGCAACCCATTCAAACTTACTTTTCAATTTCACATTTATCCAGCAATACCCCGTGAGATTCCTTGCCGGCCATCGTTGCATGCACCAATATGCGAGAGCCAACCTCTGGATCCCAAGCAAATATGTAATGGATGACTGCCAATACGATGGCTTCCAAGCCTGTTGTTTCGCGGGTAAGAGAAGTCCTGTTGAGCCCAGGGCTAACAAGGTTGATGACAACCTGGGGGGAAGTGGAAGAAGTCCGCGACGCAAGCTCCCGTATTGCGAGAAGTTGGAGAAGTTTGCTAGTAGGGTAGCTGCATGTGACATACCACGAATTTACATACTCAGCATTAATAATGAAGGTTTTGTTGATCAAAAGGAAGACGACTTGAATTCTACCATAGAAAAGAGGCAAAAGACATACCGCTCCTGCATCATCGGCGAAAGCGGGTCATTGAGCGCTGCAAATATATCCGCAGCCTCGCGCTCTGGGAATTTCGCCCAGGAATGAATCTTAGAGCTCGTCACAGTCAAACAAGGGCTAACATTGTATGTCGCGGCTGTTTGCCGAAGTTTCGGAAGTAAAGAGAGCGCAAGAAGTAATGTGCTGATGACATTTATTGTGATCGAGGACTCCTCCCCCTCGAGGAGCTCATATATGCGGGTTGCAGCCCCTGCATTCAGAATTACCACATCCAGCCGATCCAGCTCTGACAATGCCCGTTCACAGAACCCTAGAACGGATGCGTAGCTACCATACTCCAGCTCCCAGATCATTGCGCGTCCTGGGCCTTTGGTCTCTGCATTAATATCCGCAAGAGCAGTTGCCGCTTTGGAATTCGATCGCGCCGTTCCAATGACTGTAGCGCCTAGGCGAACAAAATGCTTAACAGCCTCCTTTCCAAGGCCGACATTTGCACCGGTCACAATCACGGTTTTGCCGGCGAAAGTAGCGGTGGGAAGCGGTGGGTGAGAGAAAACTTGCCAGAAAAGCCGGGCAGGGCCCATTGATAGGATCGCTTTGGAATTATGCGACTGAGAAGCGTCTTGACGGGCCACAGTTACATGTGTGTAAAACTACTTCTCAAAGATCCAATAAGGCTAGATATTTGCGGGGATTAGGAGGCTTAATACGAAAATTCAAGAGGCAAGGGATATGGCTAAAAGTAGACGAACTCGATTGGCGCGGTCGCCGTGTTTGATACCCTTGAACGTCTATCTACTGCGTACTGTGTATAACTTTGGCCCGTCGAGTCGCTATGGAGTATGAATAAGGAGTCGAGAACAACAGGTACGTAACTAGGGGGTATGTTTAGTAGGCCAGTTCAGGGTTTGCGGGTTCCAATGGCAAATATATATAACTTTCGCAAGCGAATTTTGGCTGAGAAATGGAGGAGATTGATAAACTCCTGACAGTTTTAAAATCATGTCAAGAAGCTATATCTGAGGCGGGTAACTAATTGATGGTCACGATCCCGTTTAGGGCAAGGGAGCTGATACTATTTCGGAGTTTCTTTTGATAGAAGAATATCAAACGACGTTGCTGGCCGCTGATCCAGTGATTATTTCATGGGAGCTCCCAAGTCGCCAACTAGCACGGTTAATGCTACATCATGTAGTAATTATTACTTCTTGATTCAGTTGACTGGCCTGTTTATTACTATTTCAAGCTCACCTTAACTCGCCGAGCTCGAGTCCACCACCCAGGAGCAATGCAGAGATTGGTTGGGCATCCTTCGACCACCAATAATTTTCCAGATGTCCAATGGGTTTTGGGGGAGAATAGGTTGATTGTGTGCGAATCTTCTGCTTATGTGAATGATAATTACAGGCTGCAGTGACGACCTGATTGCAGATGGTGATGAATCTGCTGAGTACGGACTGCCGAAAATAGGGAAGAGAGCTTGCAATTCCATATCCAAATCACGGTGTGATCGATCTAGTATGTAGAGCCTACTTAAACAACCCAAAGCATGTGGAGCAAACATCATGGCTCAAGAGCTTGCAAGCGTGTTGCTAATATAGACCATATAGAATTTTTTTGACGGTTTCATACACACGGCGCCGGTATACCTTCCTGGTCAGATACCAGTATACTCGAACGCTGCATTTCAAATTATAGGATACATTCCCTAAGACAGGATTGGTAAATCATTTGAATCTCTTCTCAAAAGCAAGATCTTCGAGTCCTTAAGGATGTTTAACAGCAGCCCTTTTGGGCCCCGAGATACGATCAACGGGGTGATATCCGGCAACCTGAAGGAGAGTGGTTGGGGCCACCAACTTTGGTGGAGGAGCTCCGTAAGCAAAATCGTGGCTCTGGATTGTTTCAGGGAAATAAGTCAATTTGGCCTCTTCGCCTCGGTGCCCAATTCATCTTTTCCACCGTGTCCGATCTCTCCAGAGTCGGCAATGCCATTCTTTCCTCAACACTCATCTCACACGCACAGACTCGCTGCTGGGACAAACCCGTTTAGCCACACTTCCAATCCTGCAAACTCCGTCGGGCACCCATGGGTGATATATAGGAGAGGCCAATACCCCCAAACTGCGGTGGTATATGTGAACAATTGGTTCGTAGAGCTCGTGCATTGGCATCGTGCCTGAGTTTCAAGTCGGGTTTGGTATCCTAGATCCGGACGAGACCGGAAGCCCCGACCTGAACGCCCTCGCAGATATCATTGCAGATGTAGTTTTCCCAGCGTTCATGCAACTGGCACTGACGCAAGCGACGGAGAGCTTTGGCGGGAAATATGAGCAGGAATCGTCGAAGTCGTCGATAACGATCGCGGTAGATCTCTTGCCGGGGCGTTACGAGGAGAAATAGGTCAGCAATGGAGTTGATTACAAAGCCCCTTTAGGTAAACTGTGTGGTGTTCAGGATCCATCGGCCGTGAGTATCAGACTGTTTCCAACAGATCTTGGAACGAAACCGAGATCCGGATCTCGGATGGAATTTAGAGGGGTGATTCAGGACATGAATGAGGAGGCGGACAAGGGGATGCCAATATGTGTTTCCTGGATGGATGTTGATATGCTGAAGTATGGCGGGGTGGCATTGGCAAAAGCTCAATCTCTTCCCCCCCCCCCTCCTCCATCCTTGACAAGAAATTCCTCTTAAAGGGATGAATGATGGTTGAGGTGTCGTTGACGAGCGAGAAACTAGGTACCTGCTCAAGTTGAGATGAATCCGGAAACACGTACCTCTCTATATGTTATTGCTATAGATTCATTCCGTTAACCACCACGCACTTTAGAGAGCGGCGAGTTGGTGGTAGTTAGTTGATACACAATCGATTAAAAAAAAAAAAAATCAATTTGAAAATATGCAAACAGAATTGCAAGGCGAATCATACAAAAAAGAGAAATATGCACACTTAACCACACAGTTGTTGTTGTTGTTGTTTGTTCAAGTTGTAATTTTGAAAATTATTTATAATTTCAGTAAATTTTTAGGATATTATAAAACAAGGTTGGCAAATGGCCACCACGGTGGAGGAAAAGATTCAAGAGTCTCAAAATTTCCCGCAACTTTCATTCTGAATTGAGATTTTTCCCCCCTTTTTTCTTTTTCCCCACCTTTTCATTCTTCCGTTCATTCATTCTTAGGTTTTGAACATGAGATGCTTATTGAAAGAAGTAGAAAAGGGGTGGGGGGAATTAACTAAGATAAAATAAACCGTCATACAAGTTAAACCAAACAGACAGAAATAAAAGGGGGGAGCGGAGGGGAGGGAAGGGGAGAAAAATCCGCATTAAAGAAAAACTCCCTCGCCAATTCCCTTGCTCGGTCTGTAAGTAATTCACATACCAATACACCATACATGTATGTTAGTTTAACATCCAAGAGAAAAAAAAGAATCCCCATTTCCTTGCCATGTCCAATTGCGCAGCAGAACACCTTCGAAAAAAAAAAAAAAAAAATTAAAAAAAGGGGTAATGACAACAAAGAGAGACAGAAGGAAGAAGAAAGGGTAGAAAAAAAGAGAGGAGGGGAAAATAAAGAAAAGGAAGAAAAGAAGAAGAAAAGGGAAAAGAACAGAAAAAAAAGGGGGGGTAAAGATTATAAGAGAGAGGTGAGGGGGAGAGAGAAAGAGAAATGATCCGCCCACCTCTCCCAATAAGAAAAAAGATTGTAGTGTAAAAAAAGAAGAAATGTCATTTTATCTTTCACTCTTCCCTTTCTCGTCCCATCCCATTCCCGTCCGTTACCCCCTTCCTCTATCTACTCCAACAACGCCAACTCCCTCTCCTTAGCCTTTAACGCCTCTCTCATATCCTCCGCCTCACGCTGCAACCGCGCCCGCCTCTCCGCCTTTGCGTCGCGATGATCCACTACACCCGCGCCCACAGCTGCACCACTCCCACCCCCTCCACCAACAGGCACAACTGTAGCAGACGGCGGCGCAGGTGACAAAGAAGGGCTGAAGCGGGGAAGGGAGTGGGAACCAGCTGAGGCATGCTGGTGCTCCTGCTGTGGCTGCTGTGTTCGAGGGGCGACAGCTGAGGAAAGCGCGGGATCCACGCGGCTATCGTCCCGATCGTGGGCTGTTACTGTAGCTGCTTCGCCGGGGTGATTTAATAGCGAGGAGATGGAGTTGAAGCGGCCTGGGTTATTATTGGGGAAGGAGGCGGAGGATGAGGAGGGGGGTGTGGGGGGGTTTATTTGGGGGATGTGTGTGAGGATTTGGCTGGCTTGTGGGCGTTGACAGTCTTCTATGGATGATTCGGAGATGGTGCGCTTCTTTGGATTGTGGAGTGCGGGCATGGGTGCGCGGTGGGTGTATGTGGTTTCACCGTTGTTGTGGTTGTTGTCGTAGGGTCTTAGTTGCTGAGAAGTGGACGGGGGGTGATGCGGGAGGGAGATGACGTTTGAGGTATAACCTGTGAAGTCTGCTGGGGGTGGGGCGTAATATGCATGGGAATATAAAGGTCGGGTGTGAGGTGGTGGATGTCCATTGCCGTGTTCGACGTTTTGGTACCGACGATGACTATCGTGGTTGTGCGCAAGGGCAGCGGGAGATGCTTCAGGGGAAACGGAGTCATTCGAAGATTGGGTTGCACTTGGGGGAGATTGCTCGCGCATGGCGGGAACTACACGTTTTCGTCTCTTAATAATTGGCTTTTTCATCGTGGGAGGTCGATAGGCGCCGTGGAGTTTATGGTAGAGTCCTGGCATATCATTAGTTTCTAGTTCATAATAGATTCTTTCCCCTGGTTTCAATTGTCTATATACTCACCGCAAGCATTACAAATAGGATGCCCATTCTCGTCACGTCTCCAAAGCGGAGTTACGGTGGTTTGGCAATTCTGGCAAGCTATGTGGAGGGTCATTGTTTCAGGATTCGACGAGCCGGCATCACCTTCCGTACTTCCAGGGCCGCCTTGGCTTGATACTTGCGGCGACGTTCTCGGAGTATGAAGCACCATAGCGTTTCGAGCAGCGGATTTATAAACGCGATTGTTATACGCGGGACACCCATCACACCCTTCTGCACCGCCAGTGCCATTGCAACTTCCTCCGCCCGGACATGATCCTGAAGGTGTACACTCCTTGACAGCATAGTTCGACCATGTGTCTGTCAGCCGAGGATCATTCCCATCATTTGTGGGTGACGTACTGCTCCGTGACTTGTCGAGGGTTTGCGCAGAACTTGAGCCATACGGAGTAACTAGCGAACGGGAACGATGCGTTGGACGATCAGTATTCCGGGCCTTGAGGTACAAGCCGCAGGCATTACATATTGTAGCACCAGTCGGAGACCTTCGCCATAATGGTGTCCGTTTCGTACCGCAGTTGCTATATCGAAGGATGAGATTAACGACATGACTTTAGGGGAGTATAGTTATGTGTATGAGAAAATTGGGGTGACAAACCTGCATGAATGCCCAGTGAAAGCCTGCTCTTTAGCCTGCGCTTTCGGGAATTTCTTCGACGACGTCGGATGATCTACTGGATTGGCACCAGATTCAGGTGGCGACTTACCCACCCGTTGCTCGACAGGAGCTTTGTGTCCATTCTGCAACTGCGAGTCCATATTCCGGGCCCTATCCCCTTGGGTATTATCCAACGCTTTGCCGGTCATTTCTTGTCTGTCGGAGCGAAAATTCACTACATTATCTCGTCCACCTCGTGCGGAAGATACCAACTGATGTGCCGCATCCAAATCCTCGGCAGACGGCTGCCGCATGGGAATATCTGTGCCCTTCGTGGGAGACCTCGCGCCCTCTGCACGCAGCCTGGAGGCCAGCAGGCCCGTCATCGTAGTCAACAACCACTATCTTACGGGTCCGTGTTCTTTGGGAGCACGACTTCGTAGTCAAAGGAACGCGATTCGGGGAGAAAAGAAAAAAATTCCAAGTAGTTTTTTTTTTTTTTTTTTTTTTTTTTTTTTTTTTTTTGGGTTTTGTTCTTCTCTCCTTCTACGATAATCGGTCAATGAGTTCTGAAGGCAGAGGAACGACGGGAGACAGAGAGGATCAACTGGAATGGCGGCGGCGAGTGTTAGTAGACACAGGAGCGACGATGTTGGACCAACGACAGCAGGATGTTTGATTGCGAAATACCTAGATGAATTTGCGCAGGCTTGATATCTCCAATAAGCCGTAGTGTTCCTTGATGACTCGGGACAGCACAGCAGGATTTGTTCCTTCGAATCAGGGCAGGCAACCAGGCCAAGTCCAGGCCAAATCCAGATCAGATGGCTCAAAAGATCAGATTAGATCAAAAGAAGACTCCGCTCCAGATCACGACACAGACAAGGACCCGGGGTTAGCGATACCGGTGGAGTTAAGCTGTCTTGTCGGCGAGATTCCCTGACGCTGGTGTTGAGGGTTTGACAGGAGCTGGTCTTTTGCTAGGATTCGACTACTGTGGTGATTGGAGTTGGCGAGATCAACAACGGGCGATCGAGGATTGAGGCCGGAGAAGGACGAGCCACCAGCAACGTGGAAGATCGTGAGACAACTGACAGGAAGACAGGAGCCAGAGTTGTTAAGAGTGTTGTAGATACGACCAGGGAAGGGAGGAGGAAAGAAGAAAGGGACGGAGGACGTTCGAGAGCTGGCTCAGGAGTCAGAAACACCGACTGGGTTTATGGATGGGACAATCCACAGCACATGGCGGGAACACTTTTTGGTGATCAGATCGGAGATTAGGACGAAGAATGACAGCGCTGGAGACTTGCTCTGAATACGAGACAGTCAATATATGGATGGCCTCTGCGATGAATGAATGTCCAATAAACTCTATCTAATCTAGCGAATGGTTCCATCTGTCGGGATCATTGCCCCCGTACATCCCTCGGTACACGAAATAAATAGCATGCCCATCGCTTGCCCAAAGCTATCAGAACATCATCCCGCAGCATGCCACTCTGCTCCCCGAGGGTGCGGTGCCAGCTCCATCGCCGTCGTCCTCCAGAAATCCATCTTCGTGATGCAAATGTCCGTCCAGATATGGAGAAATTACAAATTCCCAATACGCACCCTCTCATTGGCTGGCTTATCCCAGAGAGAAGATCCACGCCAAGCCGCGGCAGGTGATTATGTCAGCGGGAATTTTCGCTGCCTGGAATGCCGATTCTGAGCCCCAATTGGCCGGCGACGGGATTCTGCCTAGGTATGTGCCTGGTGGGCAGGAGGCACCTGGAGACGCCTAGAGAGACGTCGAACCTAGGTTACGTTACGAGGCTCCAAAAGGCCTACCACGGGCGGTAGAGCCCCGGGGAATATCAGGCTTGATCGATAATGGTGATGATGATGCTGCTGGTGATTTAAACTGGGAATAAATTGTGGCCTATATGTACTGTACATATGTGTGAATGTCGAGCTTATAACGCGAGCTGCAGCTCGAACAGGAAGAAAATACACATGCTGGGTATGGTTTGCAGGGTTCATGTCAAAAGCGATATCTTGAAAATAACAAAAGCCGGGAAATGGTAACTAGAAAGACAGATAGAATGTGAATATATACGTGTATATTAAGCATATAAAAGGGGACGCGCCCAAAAAGATCGAATCGTCACCCCTACCCCCCTTGTACACATAAACACTGCCCACCCGCAGGCACAGAAACGTGAGAATACATGTCTCATCATCGATAGGGTTTGCGAGCGCACGTGCGCACGCATGATCGAGTACCGTCAAAAGTATTTCTCCTTTCATACCTTTCTTCATTTTTCTCTCTTCAAACAGATGGTCTGGCTTGGTTTTGCCTTTAAACCTGTTCAGATCCCCACGTGCTATCCGCCTCGCGCATGGTGGCCGGCGGTTCTATCGACGGCACGAATTCCAAGGCAACGTATCCGAGACCGACAACGCCAACAATGGTGCCGGCAATGATGCGTAGGACTTTTCCCTCGAGGAGTATGCAGCCGACGAATATGTAAACTGGTGACAGAAGGGCAAGCGAAAGATTAGAGCGGTGTTAGAAAAACGAGGCGCCCTAGGGTAAGGAAGGAATGTTCTTCGTCTTATTTGCCGTTTGTGGAAATGAAACTTACAGATACCCCGGCCGAGGAAGGAGAAGAGGAAGGATGCGTAACGCGAGAGATTAGATGGCGGTTGTGGGACGAATTCAAGGGCAGCAACGGCTGTGTATACACTAGATTAATTTTTGCCAATTTTCATGATGCTGAAGTGGTTGTCCAAAAAAAAAAAAAAAAAAAAAAAAAAAAAAAAAAAAAGGGTCCCAGAAACTCACCCAAACCGAACAGAATCACATATACACCGACAACAACACTGCTTCTATATCACAGAATGAAATTTGGCAAGAACCCCCATCAGCAGGCATTTCCTAGGCCTCCATTCGCAAAATACCGCACAGCTTGCATATCAATGGTTCACCCTTCCCCGCTAAAACAACGCATTATTCCCAAATCCCCTTCACGTAGAATCGCCAATTGGGGACACGGGAATTCCTTTCCAACCATCCCACCCGCGAAACGCCACTGGAGGAATTTTGTGGGGGAAGAGAACAAAGCATGGCTCTTACTTACATGGTTGGCGGGAAAAACTGGCTGATACCGCCCAGGACCATGATAGCCCCGACGGTCAGGTTGACCAAGCGACTGTAAATGCGAAAATAAATCACAAGAAACCGTTAGCAAAATTTGTTCAAAAATCACATGCCATGTGAGGCGATAGGGGGAAATAAAAACAAATGCGAAAAAAGGTAGAATCCTGTTTCAAGAGCAAAACAACCCCCCTCCTGCATCGCGAAATTAAGATGGGAGATCCTAATCCAATTGGCCATGGGAAGAAAATGTCACGTACAAGATATTGGAGAAGTCCATCTTTCTTCCTCTTCGTGTCAATCAGAAATTCCTTGATAGTAGTATTAAGAGATGCTTGCGAGTTTTTTTGTCTTTCCGTCTTCCTTTCTCGTCAAAGGCGTATGGAGAGGTAAATCGTACTCGTGAGAAGCGTTCCAGCGCAATTTTTTTTTTTTTTTTTTTTTTTTTTTTTTTTAAACAAAAAGAAAAAGAATGTCGTAGCCTAACAAGCTTCGACTCGTACTGATGATTTGGAAACCGCGTTCATTCGGGAACGTGCGTAATGCGGCTGGGATCTTTTTCTTCGGTCTCGGCTCTGGATTCAACAAGGACTTGTGTGAAGGTCAAATGTCCTTAAGGAGAGTACAAAAGAGACGATGGCACGATGACTCCAGTCGATATTATTGAGTTGTCCAACTGCAATGCCCCAGGGATGAGGAAGAGAAGTGATCAAGGGTGTTGTTTTGTTGAGAGTAGCTTGCGGCTTGGCGCTTGTCTTGGCACGGGAGAGATCCATGCACAAGGGAGTATTCTGGGCATTCTCCTCCGTAGTTTGGGTGAACAGCACGCAACCAAAGCGTCCGTATACTCAGAGTATAGATAATACTAGTATTTTTATAAAACTACACTTTTAATCTTGCATTCACAGATTAGGCTTTCCAAAACATATCATCTATACCGAACACCAAAAATACTCAATTGTCAGGGTGCATCTGCAACGCCCAGATGGGGAGTACAATCTCCTTTCACATCTTAAATCCTCCCGTCCGATCACGGAACAAGCCTTTGGGGTCGTACTCGCTCCTTACCCGCCTCGCATACTCCAACTTCTCAGGGCGCAGCCGACCAAAGTAATCCTGCGCATGGTTCGCATCATTCATGAAAAGAGGGAGGTGCGCATCAGGCAGCGTCCCCTCTTTAATCCGCTCTAGCGTATCCTTGCGCACAGCATCCGTGACGGCCTTCAACGCACGTTCGATCTGAGGCACGTACGACGGGAGAGTGTACGCATAGTTAAACTCTACCAACAACCTATCGACAGAGTCGTCGAGATCGAGAAGGTCGCCGCCATTCTCCCTTGCATGGCGGGCCAGCCGTTTAGGGATGGGCTGTAGAGATAATGTGCCCAGCAGGCCGGGAACTAGTGCGTTTGCATTTGTGACGGCTTCGAAGTGGTTGTTGATGGATTGCATGACTTCCGGGTTGGCGACGTTGGGGAGCGGGGAGTGTTCAACTGCCATGTCGACTATGTTGCCGGTGATAACGAGTGCATCTTGGGCACTCACCAAAGCCGAATAGCTTTGGGTTTTTGCAGTATTGAGAATTGGACCGATGTTGGTGAAGTTGTCGAATGTTCCGGGGGGAGCAGTTTCGCCGTCGTAGAAGAGGAATATCAGCCAGATATCCAACGGGTTTTCTATGCCGATATTGCGGGTTGCGATGATGGCGGCCTTGTCGTCCGGATAGTACTCCGTGAAATCTCGAACAGCAGCCAAGACTTTATTTGACTTCTCAGCGCTGATTATCAGGTTGCCACCCCAGACCTGTTTTGGGTTTCCCTTAGATACGAAAAGTCCTTTATATCTCAAACAGTCACCATGAAAAAGGGAAAAAGCAGCCAACTCACTTTTCCAATTTTATGTGTTTTTAATGTATATGTAGTGACGATTCCGAAGGCATTCCCACCACCACGGAGGACGTTGAAAAGGTCAGTATTTTGACAGTTGGAGGCCTTTACAATGTCACCGTTTGCGAGAACAACGTCGAATTCAACGACTGTGTTCATAGTCCAACCCGTCTGGGTGCTCAGATAGCTTAATCCTCCTAAATAACAAAATGACATCGGTTTCCAAATTCAGCCAAATTCAGTACCCCAACAGCGAGTTAAGACAAATAAAACCCACCTCCAAGAGTATAGCCACCGACTCCAACATGTCCAATACGGCCTCCGACTGCGGTTACGCCCTTAGGCTCAAGGCCCTTTACAACATCAGTCCAGCGGTGACCGGCACCAACTCTTACCAAGCCCGACGACTCATCGTAGGTGATCTCGTTGAAGCCTTTCAGGCTGATAAGTGGGCCGCCATCAACGCTGGAGAAACCTCGGTTAGGGTTGTGGCCGCCGCTCTTTATAGCGAATGTCTCATTGTTCTCCCCGAGCGTCCTTACAATCAACGACAGCTCCTCCGGCGATTCAGGTTCCAGGATGCACGAGGGCTTGAGTCTTCCGCAGTCGGCCGACCTGAGGATAGGCAAATTTGGTTAGGACGAAAAGTTCCGGACATGTGAGCATCCAAACGCCAAACTTATGTCAACCATACCAATATTCCTTTTGATCCTGTGCATATGGTATCGTGAATTTTTCCTTGATCTCTATATTTGAAATCGACGAGATCTTCTCACACGTCGAGATGGCAAGCGAGCTGCTGGCATAGTACGCAAATACCGCCGCGAGGGAAAAAGTGTGTATCATGTTTCAACTGAGATCAGGGTCAAACACAGGGAGTATATAGAATAGCTCCAGGTCATCTGGGAAGAGCTGGGAGGGCTTGCACCCATCTTCCCCTTTCTAAGGCACAGTTGGCTGTATTATATATCACAGAATATTTCTAAAAATGCCGGCATCCTAACCCATTGTCGCTGTTGGAGAGCTCGCAGCACCCTGAAATCATGTACAAAAGAGGGAATTAAATGCGCTCCGTAAACCCTTCCGAACAGCGCTTTCCTATATAGGTATGGATGCCATGGCTTTAGAATAAATGTGGGTTCTCTAAGGCTGGAAAATAGTCTGAAAAAGGTGAGCAGAATCTCATCCATCATTTCAATTTCAGCTCCACTCTGGAATTCAAAAAATCAATGTAATAAATTACAACGTACGCCGTAGATGTCCACTTCTGTCCCTGTTTATGGCAAGCGTTTGACTGCGAAGGCTATTTGCAAAAGCCATTTACTTGCTCTTATTCTGCCCGGCCTGTGGCACCCTTCCGCCGCTATTTACTATTCCTTTTGGTATATGACCCCTGATATTATCGTCAATAGAGAGCGTCGGTGAGCCGTTGATGATATTCAGAGGTGGTAAGCAGCGATGCCTTGGATCTTGCTAGATAGTATTTACTAACGACAGGTTCATAAATTGGGAAATCCGATGGCCAATGTGAAGGAAGAATACAGTGCTCTCCTTCCCAGCGATGCTTTCTCCCTGTTTGTTGTAAATAAAATATATATATCAGGCACGTCTCCGATGTGTGGAGGTTTGCAGAAACGAGGGTGGCGGCCATTCCTTGGCATCAATTGGTAAAAAAAATCCGGGCAACTCCTGTTTCCGAAAATACATTCTTTTGCTCCTAATTACTCGAGGATATTATGTTATATATAATGTATAGGGTTTAGTTTTCTATCACTACTAGTCTCATTACTTTGTAACATTACTCCGAAACTGTTGATCACTCAAAAAGGTTCTGAGGAACTGGGAAAAGACATACATAAAAGTAGCACAACTTATACCCCAGCATGGATAGACGAGTGGGAAAAAAAGAAAAAGAAAGAACATCACCTAAGAAATAACATTTATACAATCTAAACATAAAATTATTAGAATTTACAACTTCGCCCTGGCCGTCCCCTTCTTCCCCAACGCTTCCCTAACCATCTTCGCAGCGGCAGCCGAACACCCCCACGAAGCCTGATATCCAAACCCGCCATGGCCATAGTTATGGACAATAATAACATTCCCAATCGTTTCGGTTTCCATCCTCACCCCTCCTTCCCTCAGCGGCCGCAAACCAACTCCGTGTCGGATGATATCCAGCCCTTCGATGCCGCGCTGTTTGCCGTTTGCATCTTTACCAACTAGATTCGGACAAAGATCAACGCATCGTTTCATGATGCGCACGGCTGTGGAAGGGTCTGGTTGGGATTCCCAGTTGTTCTTTTGATAGGTGCCGCCAAGGATGGTGCCGCCGCCTAGGAGAAGTGAGCGAAAAGATAAAGTAGTTGATGAAATTGTACAGACATCTAAAAGAAAAGAAAAGAAAAGAAAAGAGAAACTCAGGGAGAGGAAAAGCCTTGAATCCACTAACCGGCAGCCCTATTCATAATATAGCAAACCTCATCGTCACCATCATCGGACCCGGAAATCGACGTCATAATCCCGGGATCATTCCTAACAACCACGATCTGGCCACGGGCGGGTAGTAACTTCAGATCCTCCACGCCACCCAGTTTCCGCGACGAGAGGCCTGTGCAGTTCACGACAACGTCCGCCTTCGTACCCGAATGATGCGCGGATGCTGCATCGGCAATATGCTTGAAGACAGCGCGCTTGAATACGACGCTGTTCTTGAGGCATTGGGAGACTAGCCAGGGGAGGTAGATGCCCGTGTTGATACAGACGGACGTGAATGAGATCGCAGCGTCGACGCCGGGTCCTAGTTCCTCCCTGGGGAGGACGTAGAACTATTAAAGAGTTCCGGTAATTTTCGTTATTATTATCATACAACGTACTCTCATGATGATGACAGCTATGGGGATAGACGTATCAGAAGAGAAATATAGAAAAATGGGCTGGCATGGGCTGATTAGAGTAGAACATACGTCCGGGACGACGTCCTTGAACCACGGCTGCGATTTTGATAGTTCCGCGAACCACTGGCCGGTCGTGGATTCTGCGTCCTTATCACGAGAATTTATAACGGTTCCTATCAATCCGATTGTCGAAAGAATTAGTTCTGCAGGAAATAGGAAAAATCCATAACCTGCACGACCCCATCGTCCCCTAGAAAAGGGAGCGGGGGAAAAAAGGAAGAAGAAAGGAGGAAGTAGCCATAAAACCCACGCTGAAAATGAATACCAGCACTCGGGTCATTCCTAGCCAAATCCGCTAAAACAGGCCATGTATTCTTCTCCCACTCCGCATGGGCGCTGCCGGGCTGCCCGACCCTATTGATTGATTAAAAAGCAGCTCTTAAGCGCTGAATGGAACAGGCTCAAAGTGTAACAGTAAGATAGAGAACCCGTAAAACGCACGGTAGGTAATTTGCGCCGGCCCAAGGCGAGCAGTACTCGATGTCGTAGTCACCAGGCATATGCTTTGTAGCCACGGTAACCTCATTGGATGCATCTCGGGAGATAAGGAGGGCGGTAGTTAGCCCTGTCACTCCGGCCCTGGAGGGAGAATATAAATGCAAATGGAGATGGTGAGCCTAGTGATTTGTTGAGTTTTTTTTTTTTTTTTTTTTTTGGTTTGTTCCACAAAGGGCGTGCGCGCCAGGAGTACTGGAAGAGGGGGAGGAAGCACACACCCAACCACCACGATCTTGTTCGGTGCCATGCTGTAACTGAACTCCGCACCGTAGGAGAAAGTCGCAAAGAAGTTTAATATTCAATATAATCGCTATTGAGGAAGGGCAATGTCGGCTACATGAAAAAACGTGGAGCGAGAGCGAGTGGTGTAAGAATAATCATCTAAATTGTCTGCGGAGCTCCAGGTGCCGGAGCTTGAAGCCGGACTGATATTGAAACGCGGTGGTTTTTACGGAACAGGGCAAGTTCCACAACATTCCCTTAATAAAGTGTTTAATTCACTAATTAACCGACTACTTCTTCATTGTTGCTAATGATACACTTAACATAGCAGCCCGTAGGACAGCAAGCATTGAGGGGGTAAGCACTCTTGATTTCAAAGGAAAAGAAGGATGAAGGAAGAAAAGAACACGGGAAGGAAGTTGACGCGGTTTGCGGTTTACAATGAAATTTCGAGCCACGTGAGGGGGCTGTCTTGGCAGCCCCCTCGACGATGGCTGTATGGACAGTACAGAACGGTACCAGTACAATTAACCAGGGCAGCGGACAGTGCACGATACGGGTACCGGTACAAGGTACCGATTACAGGGACAAGTGCTTGTACGGGCGTACCTTATCTGGCCGTCTTCCATCATCTCCGCCTGCCCAGCGAGCATACAGCTGGCCGAAGTGCGCTCACAGTTGGTTGTTGATTGCTGATGATTGTTGCTGCTCTTCTTTCACTGCTGAACTCCTGCAGCCGTGTCGGTGGCTGCTGAGAGCTCAGTTAAATAAATTAAATGTCGCTAGATCTCTAATCACTATTCATTTCTCTTCACCAGTCTCCCGCCAACCACTTCACCACCACTCCGGATTCACAAACATATTCCCTTATTGCTGCTATTCTACGATCCCCACCCAGCCAATCTGGTTTCTATAGTCCTATTGAAGAAATAATTCATCTCTTTCTGCTACATTTCCCTCCCTTCACTCCCATCGCCCCGCCCGCTCCCCACCCAAGGAAGAACATTACGAATCCCTGAATACCGAACCGCTCCCAGATGAAGCCCTTAAAGGCCGTTCCTCTGCAACCATGGCTAACCTTCCACCACCCTCCAACTCCAGAATCGTCCCTATCATGGCCCAAAGAAAATCCCACTCCTCCGGTCCTGCTGGTAACAGGACTAGCCCTCCTGAGGACAGTGCCATGAAAATGCACCTAGAGATGGCCATGGCTGGGATGCCTAGCAAGAGCAGTCTCAAACTGGGATGTCTTGATTACTTCAATCTGTATGCCATGCCTGTCCTTGGCGATGGTAGGTGCTGCTTTTTCCTTTGTTGTTTTGTCCTCCTTCTTCTTCCTCCTCCTCCTATTCTTCTTCATTGCCATATCCGTACTAGCTAGAAAAGCACCAATCGTTCAATCATACGGCTGATACATGTCCATTTACTTTTCTAGGAAATTGTCTCTTCTACTCACTCTCAGACCAATTGTACGGAAGCGTTGACCGCCACATTGAAATCCGAGAGCGTTTGGTCCAGCATATGCGGGACAATGCGGACTATTTCAGAGATTTCACCGCAGATGTTGGGGGAGAGCGTCGAGCTCCCAGGAGGAGCGCCGCTCAAGAAAAAACCGTCTTGCGTATACCAATGTAGATAGAGCTGCTACTGAAGAGGGGCAAGCCGCGAAGTTTTAAACTCATGCTCAACG